CTTGCTTTCGTGCATGGTGTTAGTGACTTATGTAACATAATTTTAAATAATAAAGTAGACCTGTGCTTTGCTACAGAGACAGGGCAGAGATGGCGAACGTTCTGTCCCGGTGAAAATGTTTCACTGAAAGTTAACCAACAAAAGCAGTGGGATATTCCGTTGGTACAGATCGTGCAGAAATATTTGTTTCAGGCACACATTCTAGCTGTTTCGAATTTCGATTAAGGAATATAGTCACTAGTTACCATAAAGAAATCTCGGCACATTACTTGAAGGGGAAAGCTTGCATATCGCTGTAGGAATCCGACTAGGAGTGGCAATTTGTCAAACCAATCAGTGCCCCCGTGGTTGCAGTGTCGACGAGTTTGGGCTCCACGGACTTTCATGTAAGAAAAGTGCTGGTAGGTTTTCACAGCACGGTTCTTTGAACGATGTCATCCGAAGGGCTCTTGTCTCTATAAATGTTCCCACGGTTTTGGAATATATAGAGACGATGAACTGACTGACGGCTCCGTGGCGCAGTGACTTAGCAATGAGTTACTGTGCTAGAGGCCGTGGGTCCGAATCCCGCACGGAACAAGTATTTGTATGGCCTACAAATGATTGTTCCGGGTCTGGATTTTTGTCCTTGTGCAATTTGTGTTTGTAAACTGCCTCCACGATACAGGAGAAAATCCTAGTGTAGAGGTAACGTTTTTAAAAAATAGAATAAATAGATAGATGGCAGGAGACCCGACGGTATGATATTGGTATCTTGGGAGAGAGGTAATGCCCTAGTATATATTATTGCCCTAGTATATATATTTGTGCCATTTGCTGTAGAGACTATCGGTCCATGGGTTCCACATGCGGTGAAGTTCCTAAAGGTGATTTATCCGCGACTGGTCGTTGCTGCTGGTGATTAGAGGGCTTCTTCTTTTATCGCTCAATGGCTAAGTATAGCTATTCAGTGGGGAAACGCAGCCAGCGTTCTTGGCATGATACCGCGGGGAGTAGGACTCTATTTAAAGACTCATATTTGGGCTACTTATTTAGGTCAGGTGCCTCTGATGCTGCCTTTGCTTTAAACGAGGTACCCCTGAGATGAGAAGCTGCCAAAGTGTCTTCGCAAGTAGTATTCCACACTAAAGCTTTATTTCTCTCACAAGCATCCAGAGTTATGACTTCTAATCTAATCTAGTCGAGTCTAAATATTCTACAAAGCTCTAAAACCAGGGGAACATTTGTACTGACACGAGCTCTTCAGATGATATCGTTCAAAGAACCAGTTGTGTTCGCCAGCAGCGCTAAATCAGGAATTTGCATTAAAAAAAAACCAAAATTAGGGGATTTTTAGGTGCTAATTAGGTGCCAAGTTTAAAAATTAGGTGCTCTAAAATTTTCACCGCAACGAACTGTCGAAATTTGCGTTGCTAGCAAAACGTCGCGCAAGCAACGCAATGAAGTTATTACTTATACGATGAATATTAATAGCAAGGAATTAAGTGCTAATTAGGTGCTGCAAGTATAGGCAATAACAAGGCACCCCTAAAAAAATTAAATTCGTTATTCAGAACATAGTAGATGCAAAATTCAGGTTTTTGAAAATCAAAATAGAATCAAAATTGCTTTTAGAAAAAGCCCAAATTAGGGGATTTTTAGGTGCTAATTAGGTACCAAGTTTAAAAATTAGTTGCTCTAAAATTTTCACCGCAACGAACTGTTGAAATTTGCGTTGCTTGCAAAACGTATCGCTAGCAACGCAATGAAGTTATTAGATATACGATAAATATTAATAGCAAGGAATTAGGTGCTAATTAGGTGCTGCAAGTATAGGCAATGACAAGGCACCCCTAATAAAAATAAAGTCGTTATTCAGAACAAAGCATAATTCAGGTTTTCTGAAAATCAGAATAGAATCAAAAATGCTTTTAGAAAAAGCCGAAATTAGGGGCTTTTTAGTTGCTAATTAAGTACCAAGTTTAAAAATTTGTTGCTCTAAAATTTTCACCGCAACGAACGATTGAAATCAGCAACGCAATGACGTTATTAGATATACGATGAATATTAATAGCAAGTAATTAACCGTGATGGGATAACATTACAGTAAAGAATACGGTTAAATAGCCGTTTAATAAAAATATAATATTACAGGTGGATTCGACCAAATAAAACGTTACACAAAAGTAGGTAACTAACCTCGAATAATTTTACTCTTTCTCAGATAACTTGCGTTTTTGCAACACAAACGTTCAGTAGAAGTTTTACGTGGTAGAGCCATGCTGCAGCTATATTACTGGTATAGTTGTAACACTAATGGGTCGACTCGGCTGGCCTCACAGAATACCAGCATAATATATATCAGCGTAAAATAACTGTGTTTCGTATGGTGAATGTAGAAAATAGGAGACGCGTTTTACTGGAAATGAGACATTCCATCTTAGTCCTCACGGATGACAACGCGTCTGCGTTTTGACTCGTAATCGAGGATAGATATAAATGTCTATGGGCCGCAGCAACCATTTACCATGAGGTGGACTGTGTGCTCGTTTGTCACGCTTATCCTATTAAAAAAAAGCCAATACTGGGTATTTTACAGTTACTTTGTTATTATTATCTGTTGTCGGCGATTTTGGTTGTTAACAGATATGGGTAAAAAAGAACATCGATAAGTATTATAGATAAGGAACTCAACAACCCTAAATTTTATTGTTTGTCAAAACTTTTGAAGCCAAATATGTTGGTAATTACCATATTAATTATCTAATTTTTAAACTATGTTATTGCTAAATAAATAATACAGAGTGAGTTTACATTTTAATTCCTACTACCCCTGGATTTATACTTCCATTCGATACTCTCAATGTTATTGTTGTTTATAAAGAGTTATTGACACTCGTATTTAGAATTTATTTTTTAACCCCCGAAGCAAAACGAGGAGTATTATAAGTTTGACCGCTATGTCTGTCTGTCTGTCTGTCTGTAACACCGTAGCCATTAAAAGGGGAACCCATTTGGCGGCGGTTTTTTTTGAAAGGTGACTTCATCAATATTGTTCTTAGCTACGATTAAAAGAAAATGTTTTCAGTCGTTTGAAAACATCAGTTCTTTTGTTTCGTGGATTTTGAAATTTTCAATAATTGTTAATTATAATTATGTTTTCTTGATTTAAGACCAATTATTTTCTACAGGAAAAGTTCCTAACCTTAGAATATTTATAAACGTTCTTATTCATATATTACAAACTGTAAGACTGATTCAAAAAGTGGGGGTCGCCCTACACTTCGCCTACCGGTACGAGGCTGCCACTCGAGAACCTTTTTTCCCCATCAGTTGTCGGTTCTTCGAGTTATGGCCGGCCCATTGCCACTTCAGCTTACTAATCCGTTGGGTTATGTCGGTCACTCTGGTTCTACTGATCCTCATTTCTAAGTTTACCATGCATTGAAACCCCGAGCATAGCCGTCTCCATAGCTCGCTGAGCGACCTTGAGCGTCTTCATACGACCAGCAGTGAAGAATCATGTCTCAGATCCATAGGTCATCAGTGGCAACACGCACTGGTTATACAGTCTCGTTTCAGGTATACAGGTCAGGTTTTGAGGTATACCTGACGAGATGTGTCGTAATTTTCCGAACGCTGCCCAGCCGAGTTGAATCCATTAATTGACCTCTCGGTCGAAGTTGGACTATTTGTCCAAGGTATACATACTCGTCAACCACTTCGAGTTTAGTGCTCCCAACAACTACCGGCATATGTGTGACATGGACATTACACATGATCTTTGTTTTGTCCATGTTCATATTTAGATCTTTGCGATGGAAGACACTATTGAGGTCATTGAGTATAGTGATTAGGTCCTCCAGCGATTTTACCATAAGGGCTATATCGTCCGCAAATCGAAGGTGAGTGATGTACTCGCCATTGATGTTAATACCGTATCCTTTGTAGTTCAGTAGCTTTAAAACGTCTTCCAATGCAGCGATGAAGAGTTTCGAGGATCTCTGCAGTTAGATAGGTTTCGCACTCTGGTTCTGTACTCAGGTAGCCATCGTAGTATGCTTGTACAGTAATATAAACACTTCAGCACTTTGATCTGTTCAATTCAGCACATTCAGTGTAAGCTTGTTAAAAAAAAACCGCTCAAGTGCGAGTCGGACTCGCACACCGAGGGTTCCGAACAAATCCGTAGGTATATAAGTTTAAAATTATCAAAAATATTTTTTATATGATGTAACTAATAATTTATGCTTTTCGCAATTTTTCCTTTATCTATACTATAATACGTTGCTTCGTACCAAATTCTAAGATTCTGAGTTCACGGGAAGTACCCTGTAGGTTTTGATTCCATTGCGAATGTCGAAAATTTGCGGCATAAGCGGCTGTATCTTTTGATTGCGTTAGCTTAGAAGTTTGATTTTTTCACAGCTCCAAGGGACAGTAGATTTGAGTATTTGATATGAATTTCAGCTTGATACCTCCACGCGTTTCTGAGAAAAAAGGTCTTGACAGACAGACAGATAGACGGACAACAAAGTGATCCTATAAGGGTTTCGTTTTTTCCTTTTGAGGTACGGAACCCTAAAAAGTGGCACTGTTTAGACTAATCGATAGACACCTCATTGATGAAAATCCATCCAGCCATTGGGATACTTCGAGGGTATAAAGAATCCCACATATGCACGGACCCAATTATGCCTGAAAAATGTAACTGTGTCTTTGCCGTCGTGAAGTCAGGTCAAAACAGTTATGAATCAGTTCTGTAGAGACAATATTAATTATAAATTTTTTAATTATAAAATGGAGTAAGAGGTGATCCACGCTATCAATAAAGTTTCACTTGGATATTCACGCTGTTATGAAATTTTTCTTTATTTTAAATCTTAGAATTTTCTATGAAAAAATCTTACAACCCTGTTTCATCCCCTAGTAATCGTTCAATACGAAATACGAATATGTATATCTCTATTGCACCAACGTTAGTAACTCTTTTGTTGTCTCGCTCATAAATGGCGCACGGCAGTCTCGTGAGTAGTCTAGGCGGGCTAAGTCGCTCGTTTCGAAATACGCGGGAAATTTGTGAAGTGTATTTTTTTGAAAATTTACTAGTAAAATCTAATAAATATAAAAAATCTTACAATGTAAGTAATTTTCTTGTGTGTTATCAAATTCTTAAAAGTTATAGTAAATATAAGTTTATATTTATTATAACTTTATCAGTTTTTAAGTTTCATTCACCTTTGACATCTAGCTAAAATGATAATTATCTAATAAACATTTTATTATAAAAATGTAACTTAATCGTTAATGTAGTAGAGATCAGTCAACTAAATAAAAATTTGTTCAATTTTTATAATTAAATCAATTGATGGTTTTTGAGCGAAATTTCAAAACCCACACGATTTCAGAACCCAAATATTATTTCAGAAAATTTATGAAATAATATTTGAATATATCGAAACACAAGAAGTTTTTCCATACCATTTTATAGCAATCTATACTCACTAAAATCAAATTAAATAAGTAAATAATTACATCACAGTTTTTTTAACGGCGTGCTACATAATTAATATTGCTCTTCAATACATATCTTATATTTTGCGTATTTTTAGGTATAATATTTCATTTTTTATTGTAATGTTGTGCTTAGGTTAAGTTAGGGTAAATAATAAAGTTAGTCTATAAAATATTATAAAGTGCATACTTATATGTATAAGAAAAATATATAATTAAAATATATTATTAAATTTCTGTTACTATTGTAATAATATTTCGTGAAATATTTAAATTCTCTTTCTTATTTATCTTCAATGAGGTTATTTTAATGATGTACGAGTAACCATTAAAAATCTAGGATAATAATATTTCATTTCAAAGAACATCAGTTAGGTATTTTACATTTATAAATCTACATATAATTTATTCATACACATAAACATGTGTTTAGCTGATTTATATCATTTAGCTCGCGCATAAATATATTTGTAAAAATTAAGAGCTCTTGAAATTATTTAAGTTTTACCTTTTTAGAGCTTTTTCGATAAAATTTAAAATATGTTAAATTTCTCGTTTTTTAATGGCTACTATATTATATTAAACATATATTTGTTTTAGAACGCAGGAAAATTGAAATAACAATAAAAAATATTTAGAAGTACGTTTTCATCTCTCGACATTGCATCAGCAAAGATTGAAACACGTGGGCGAATCGATCGAATGTCCCCATCCCACCCTCTGTTGGGGTCAGAAAGGTTTGGCGCGTCAGTGGTCCGTAGTCAGTATTTTGCCCGCGAAATTTCTTATAATATCTGCCCTTGGGCAATTTTATATAATAAGACTTAAGATTGCCATAACTTTCTTATAGGCGTTGCATAAAAAAAAGGTGTGGGTTTGTTCTGCTCAAACTTCTTTCTGTTTAATTTCCCTTTTGGTGATTATTTGCAAGCTTTATATTTTTACGAATGTACATACAAACACACGCACACATACGCACACGTGCACCCTACTTCTCACCACCCAGACAAACCTATAGGTACACACACACGCACACACACGCACACACACAGTCACACACACACACACACACACACACAGTCACACACACACACACACACACACACACACAAACGCGCGCGCGTGTTACACAAAAGCCAACCCTTTACAAAACAATGAAAAGAACCTTGCGGACCTTATAACATGGAAATATGTTGCAATTTGGTCTTCCAAAAATCGGACCTATTCCAGTGCACGTTGAAACTGTTTGTAATAACGAGCGTCATACGTTGCGTAGATATTAGCAAAAATGTTATTTAAATTCCGTTAGCTGTTTATGCTTGACAGAAGAATGACCAGGATTAAGAATAGAATGCTTCGGTGGATTAAACACGTGGAAAGAGTGACAAAGTAAGTTTATCTTGCAGAAGAGAGTGGCAGAATTGTCAAGGGACGCTCTAGACTGAAGTTTATAGACCAAATTGATGATAATGGGCCAAATTAAGAGTACTCGTAACCATCGAACATGTATGCGCAGGTATTTGGAAGTGAAGGAGGCGAGGGTAGTATGTTAGGATCGTGCCAAATAGAAGTCCATAGTCTCTGCCTACCCCTTGGGGCGAAATGCGTGTATGTAAGAACAACCACCCAAATACTATCTTACACTTATATGATATCAGTACTTATTTCATACGTGGTAGAGCCATGCTGTAGCTATATTAGTAGTATAGTTGTAGCGCGAATGGGTCGGCTAGACCGGGGAAGGATCACGCTATCACAGGATACCAGCGTTAAATAGTAGCTTAACACTGCTGTGTTTCGTATGGTGAGTGTAGAGAACCGGAGACCCTTTTTAATGGAAAAGAGGCATTCCATCTTAGTCTTCACGGGTGACAACGCATCTGCATTTTCATTCGCAAACGAGGATAGATGTAGATGTCTATGGGCCACAGCAACCACTTACCATCAGGTGGACTGTGTGCTCGTTTGTCACCCTATCCTATAACACATATATAACATTAGTAGATACTTATATCTCACTTACATAATATTACATTGTACATTTCTTTTTTATTATGTAAAGCTTTCAGGGTAAAACAAGAGCAAATAAGGTCATGGTTCACGACCTTGAAATACTATTTTCCATTTGAAACTACACTTTTAAATACTCGAATATGCTTATGAAAAAGTGCTAACTCTATTTTATGCTAAAACCGACTAGTCTAGACATAAGCTTGAGGAATTCCCTCAGCCTGTGACAAGTAGATTAATACACTAAAAATTATTGAATTTTGTCGAGACTATTATCAATAAAAGTAAAGTTTAGTTACAGCCTATGGACATACTACTTTTGGGTAGGCCCTTTTTCGCTTTTAAGAGGGTTTTAGGGCAAGGAAATGTCCGCCGAAATACCCCACCGCGTGTTAGACAACTTCTCACGTCTTCGTAATATTTGTTCTTAGATATGTAGGTTTCCTATCGATGTTTTCCTTCACCGCTGAGCTCGAGGTAATCAGCACTTTTAATTTTAATTAACTTTTGGCGCCGTCGGGGATCGAATCGAATTGCTCGAGTACTGTCAAATTTACAGCAAGCACTTAGCCACTACGTTATCACGGCTCCACTGTTCTTAATTCTATTATTTATTGTGTTATTGTTATATACGGCTTACTGAAATCTGATTTATTTATTATCATCATCATCATCATCATTACAGCCCTTCATAAGTCCACTGCTGAACATAGGCCTCCCCCAAGGAATGCCACAAAGCACGGTCCTGAGCCACCTGCATCCATCGACTTCCTGCATGTCTTACCAGGTCGTCACTCCATCTAGTGGGGGACGCCCTATACTTGGGCCACTCGAGAACCTTTTTTCCCCATCGGTTGTCGTTTTGCAGAGAGGTGTAAGAAAGGGTGACGTTATATCCCGAAAGTCTTCACCGCTGCATTGGAAGGCGTTTTCAAGCAAAAAAAGCAAAGTTTTCAAAACTGGAAAGGATACGGTATTAACATCGATGGCGAGTACATCACTCACCTTCGATTTGCCGACGATATAGCCCTTATGACAGAGTCGCTGGAGGACATAAGCACTATGCTCAATGACCTCAATAGTGTTTCCCAACGGATAGGTATTAAGATGAACATGGACAAAACAAAGATCATGTTTAATGTCCATGTCACACCTATACCGGTAGTTGTTGGGATCACTAAGCTCGAAGTTTTGACGAGTATGTTTACCTGGGACAAATAGTTCGACTAGGTAAGTCCAACTTCGACCGAGAGGTCAATCGTCGGCTTCAACTCGGTTGGGCAGCGTTCAGGAAATTTATTATCATATTATTAAAAAAATGTAAAACTAAAAACTCAAATTATCATATTGTCCTACTCCCGTCGGTATAGTGCCAAGAACGCTGGCTGCGTTTCTTCGCATAATTACTATACTAGCCCTTTTATCACCAGTAAGCGATAACAAATCGTGGATATAGTTCCTTCATTCTGATGCTTATTTGTATCATAAAGCTAGCATTAAAATTAGAGCCGTGGTAGCTCAGATGGTAAGTGCTCGCTGTAAATTTCAAAGTACACGATCAACCCGGTTTCGATCCCCGCCGGCGCCAATGAAATTGTTTATTTGCAATAATTAATTACAAACTGATTAACTGCTCAGCGGTGAAGGGAAACATCGTGAGGATTCAAAGACATGTGAAGTTCGCCAACACGCATTAGGGCAGCGCAGCGGACACTTCCTTGCAATAAAACCCTCTCAGAAATGAGAGGAGGCCTGTGCCCAGCAGTGGGACGTATATAGGCTGTAACTTTAACATTAACTCTTTTTTTAATTTTGATTGTTATCGAATTAAAATACCGAATAAGAACATGTAGGTAATTTTTATCATACGCTCAAATATTTAGTCCCACCAGTTTAGTTTTTATAGAATAAAGGTGAAAATTAACAACAGTCCACCTGATTGTAGGTGGATGCTGTGGCCTATAGACATAATATCTACATTTATCCTCGATTAAGGCTCAAAATGCAGAATCGTTGTCAACCCTGCAGGGCTAGCATGGGCAGGACACAATTTTATCCCCAGGGAAAGGAGAAAATATTTATATCGCTTAGTTTTATCCACCCTTCGAGCACGGGCACACCGGTGGATATAATATCCACAGTAGATAAAATAGGAGATAGACTTAGACTTAGATAGATTTATCGTATGAATATAAACTTAAGCCCACGTCCAATGAACTAGGATAAAATTGTCCCTTTCAAATGTCAAAAAAACATAATTTTTTTTTTCATTTGGCTCCATGCTACGGACGGGAGGATATATGTCTACTCGTTTTGTGGATATAAGTGGATATAATCTGGAGATAAATCTTTTGTCCCCAGCCCATGCTAGCCGCCTGAGGCAAAGATGGAATACCACGTATCCAGTAAAAAGGGTCTCCGGTTGTCTACGAGCCATTGAACGTGGTCCTTCGTCAGTAGAGCCGACCCAATTATGTTATATTCATAATAAAGCTGTAGCGTGGCTCTACTACATATAGAAGTGTCATATTTTATTATATGACATTATATTATTAAAGAATTAGTAGTATTTTAGTTATTAAATATTCATCGGATTATTAGAGGGGATACATGCCAT